CTCCTTTTTTTCTTTTTTTATTCTGAAATTTATTTACCTTCTATAATTGAAACTTTGTTGCCTTCAGTGGAGCTCAGAGCCGGCCAGGATGGGTGGGAAGCTTGGCATCCTCCATTACTGGAGCAACCAAGTCTCCTGCTCACTCTAGCTCCGTGGCCACGGCCAGCTGAAAGCAGGTATCTGGGATTTATTTACCTTCTATAATTGAAACTTTGTTGCCTTCAGTGGAACTCAGAGCCAGCTCCTGTTCACTCCAGCAACATGGCCAGGGCTGGCTGAAAGCAGGTATCTGGGGTTTATTTATCTTCTATAATTGAAATGTTTTTGTCTTCAGTGGAGTTCAGAGCAGGAGGGGAACCTTGGCTTCCTCCATCACTGGAGCAAGCAATCCTCCTGTTTGCTTCAGCTGCCTGGCTGCCGGCCGCCATCTTGGCTGGCAGTTAATTTGCATATTGCCCTTATTAGCCAATGGGAAACGTAGCGGAGGTATGGTTAATTACCATGTTTGTCTATTATCAGATAGGACTAGAGGCCCGGTGCACGAAATTCGTGCATGGGGTCGGGGGGATCTCTCAGCCCAGCCTGCAACCTCTCCAATCTGGGACCCCTCAAGGAATGTCCGACTTCCCATTTAGGCCCGATACCCGATTGCAGTTGGACATCCCTCTCGCAATCCAGGACTGCTGGCTCCCAACTGCTCACCTGCCTGCCTGCCTGATTGCCCCTAACTGCTTCTGCTTGCCAGTCTGATCACCCCCTAACCACTCCCCTGCCAGCCTGATTGATGCCTAACTGCTCCCCTGCCGGCCCAATTACCCCCAACAGCCCTCCCCTGAATGCCTTGTCCCCCCCAACTGCCCTCCCCTGCAGGCCTTGTCCTTCCCAACTGCTCTCCTCTGCCGGCCTTGTCACCCCTAACTGCCCTCCCCTGCTGGCCTGGTCACCTCCAACTGCCCTCCCCTGAAGGCCTTGTCCCTCCCAACTGCTCTCCCTCTGCTGGCCTGGTCCCCCCCGAACTGCCCTCCCCTGCAGGCCTGGTCCCCCCCACCCCAACTGCCCTCCCCTGCTGGCCATCTTGTGATGGCCATCTTTGACCACATGGGGGTGGCCATCTGTGTCTTGGAGTGATGGTCAATTTGCATATTACCTCTTTATTATATAGGATAGAAAGTGCCTTTAGACAGAAACACAAATAAAACGAGGTTATGTATTGATCAGTTAGCATTTCTCCTGGGAGCAGTGGTTCAGTGTCCACTAATTCAATGTTGGCAGCAACACCAAAGGGTCACTAGTTCGATTCCTGGTCAGACCACATGCCCGGGTTTCAGGTTCGATCCCCCAGTTGGGGCATATGTGGGAGGTAGCCAATCAATGTTTCTCTCCCTCCCTTCCTCTCTAAAATTCAATTTAAAAAAACTTTATGAAACATGATTATCCTGAATAATGAGTTGACTGTGTGTACGCGCACATGTGTATAAAATACCCCCCCCCCCACGTATATACCCTTGGAAAATACTAACCACAGGCACTATATCATAAAGAATTTTGGGATGTGATTCTGCAAGTTTCTTTATCTTTCTATTCCAGGAAGCTCCATCCAAAAATAATCCATAAATTAAGACACCTAAATATAAAAGAAGCAGGTGTTAATACAACACTTTAAATATGCAAACAGAGTTCTGAATCTGAAATTCCTACCATGAAGACTATGCAGGTTGTCCCAGGTCAGCAGCCGAAGCTTGTGCTAACACAGAACGCAATGTTCTCAGTGCTTGGCTTTCACGTCCATATTTCGAGAATATCTACAATTTGCCTAGGCAGTTAATTTCGTGGTATAATTAAACATGGGAGACAACAGAGCAAAGCAGTTTAAATTCATCTGTGTGAACACAATCAGATTTGTATAGTGAATGGACCCGTGTCAGTGGCCAGGAAATCTGCAGGTTACTCAGTGTTGTCGGGACCCAGTGGCTTTGGGGCATGCACACCCATGCCCTCCGCAGATCCCTCGCACCTGGAGAGTTCACTTTTTCGTCCCGTTTAGAGCTGATCTCACACCAAGGACAGAGGATGAGCTCCCCAGAACAGAACGCGGCCCACTCGCAGCTGACGAGCACACGTTCGGGACTGGGGGGAACCTCATGGCTCTCTCTCTCTCTCTCTCTCTCTCTCTCTCTCTCTCTTTCTCTCTCTCTCTCTCTTCCCATTAGTGTGGAGCCTCCTGCCCTGCCACCAATAAGACCACAGCCAAGCAGTGCGGAGCTCACGCCTGGGCTTTTGTTCCTGAGGTGCTGGTGACCTGGGGCAATTCCTTCAACTTCAGACCAGTTTTGTCATCTGGAAAAGAGCTGGGGGCATTTGTAAGACGATGATGCCTGCTTTGTCTGCCTCCTGGAGTCGTTAGAGTCAAATCAGCCAATCGGGTGCCAGCCTGTGTGAAGTAGCATATAAAACCACTCCGGCCAGCCAGGGTCTCAGGGGTTGAGTGTGAACCAGGAGGTCACGGTTTGATTCCCCATCAGGGCACAGGCCGGGGTGGTGGGCTCCATCCCCAGTGTGGGGCCTGTAGGAGTCAGCCGATCAATGATTCCCTCTCATCATTGAGAGAAGGATAAGCTAGCCGAGAGCATGAACGTGTCCAGAGAGAAAAGGAAAATCAGGAGAGGTGATGTCTTGGAGGCAAAGGGAGATGGGTGCCTCTAGAAAGAGGAAGTTGTCAATTAGTAAAAATTGCTAAGAAGTTTGGATGAAAACAGAAGAGCATTCATGGATTTGTCAACATGGAAGTCATTAGTAACTCTGAAAAGAATAGCATCAGATGATTGGAGGGGCTGGAAGGCAAACAGGAAAAAAGAAGTGGAGATGGCATGAAAAGATAGTTCTTTTGACAAATTTGCTATAAAGGGGAGCAGAGACATGGGACCATAGCTAAGGGCATGTGAGTGTTAAAATAACTAATTCTTTGTTGATTTTAAAAAATATTTTTATTGATCTCAGTGTGGAAGGGAGAGGGAGAGAGAGATAGAAACATCAATGATGAGAGAGAATCATTGATTGGCTGCCTCTGCATGCCTCACACTGGGGATTGAGGCTGCAACCTGGGCATGTGCCCTGATGGGGAATCAACTGTGACTTCCTGGTGCATAGGTCAATGCTCAACCACTGAGCCACACTGGCTGGACTTTCTGTCTTTTAAGAAGAGAGATTCTAGAGCACTCTGCATGCTGATAGGAATTACCCAGTAGTGAGAAGGATGCTGTTGATTTTAGAAAAAGAGGGCACAATTGGAGGAGCAAAAACCCTTGGAAGGAGGGAAAAATAGACTCTGGACCACCCATAGGATTTGGACTATCAGAGGGTGCAGATGTGGACAGAGTAATAGAGGTGGTGCTGCTAAAAGCTCTCTTCTCTCGGCCTCTTATTCTTTCAGTGAGGGATGAGGTGCGAAGTGGGGGCAGAGGGAAGGACGAGCAAGGCACGGCGTTTGTTTTGCGAGGAGGAAAGCAACTTCCCAGAAAGTGCTAGGATTGTGTCAGTGTTACAAACTCCCTTGCGGTTCGTGACAGTTGATGTAAAGTAAAATCACTCGGCACGGCGACGTGATGGTCCCGCGCTGTGTGATCACATACCCGTTCGCTAGCGGCTCCCATGGGGTACAGCTTAGTTGCGGGTCAAGATCCTGTCTACAGCGCCCACTGTTGGCCTGCCCGGGTCTAACAGAGCGAGTCAGTGAGGAAGGAGGTGGAGCTGCCTCAGACGCGTGGATGACGGATTTGCCGATTACTTTCTCCCTACGTTTTCTTGGAAATAATCTCAAACTTATGACATTTTGCAAGGATAAAACAGCACACAGGACGTACACTCTATTCGGATTCCTTGTATCTCCATTTGCTTTATCACAGTCTCTCTCCCCCCATAATGGTTTTTCTCAGTCACTTCGTTACATGCATGATGATTGACAGGTTTAACCGCGGAGCCTAGAGAAGCTGGCTTGCGCTGCCATCGCACTTACCGTCTTCCGGAGGGACCTTGTAGTCTTTGTCCTCCAGCACTTCGTAGTCAAACCCAAGGAGGTCGATGGGGATGGTGTACTTGCGGGCGAAGTTCTGCTGGGCGCCCGTCAGGAAGGCTTGTGTGAAGAAGAAGCCGGACAGCCAGAAGGATGGGGGCGGGCCCACCTCGTACCATTGCTAGGGGTCAAAGCACAGGGCCCGGCCACGTTCAAACTGCCCCCCCTCCCCCGGCGTCCCTCCTTTATCTTTTAGGTAAACTAATGCCCGAAGGATATAAAGCCGTTCTCTGAAGGTTTTAAAAGTAAGTAGCAGCTTCTGTGTTTTGTGCTGGCTTCAGTCTGACACCCACCGGACCAGCTCGGGTATCACCACGTGCGGGATGCAGATGTCAATGTCTGTTGTATCACTACTTAGTGCAGTGATGGTGAACCTATGACACGCGTGTCAGAGGCAACACGCGAACTCATTTTTTTGGTTGATTTTTCTTTGTTAAATGGCATTTAAATATATAAAATAAATATCAAAAATATAAGTCTTTGTTTTACTATGGTTGCAAAGATCAAAAAATTTCTCTATGTGACACGGCACCAGAGTTAAGTTAGGGTTCTTCAAAATGCTGACACGCCAAGCTCAAAAGGTTCGCCATCACTGCCCTAGTGGCTCCTTCCGAGGTGCTCCGTGCAGCAGTGAACACAACACACGTGCTGCACGGGCATCGTGTCACCTAGTGGTGCAGCAGAGGTCATGCCTACCCAGCTGGGCCGGTGGTCATGTCTTTCCACCTTTCCTCTCTCTGGTCATGGGAGCCAGTACACTATTCCTTTGGGAGTTTTCCCACTTCCTTTACCAAAACACAACGAAATCCAGCCGACAGGAACACTGTCAGACAGGTTTCCCAGCAGAAACAGGGTGGGAGAGCTTGGGGTCTTTACAAATAAAGACGCCCCGATAGTCTGGCCTGTAGTGTAGGAAGCGAGTTGCACGGTGACTGGAACTAAATGCGGAATCACAGAGGCATTTGAAGAAAGACACCGGAGCATCTTCCCTCTGAGAGTCCGAGGCAGGGCCTTCATCTCTCCAGAACAGCCTCCCTCCCTCCGTTTCGGCACCAGCACGCGGCCGGCCTGTGTTCGGGAAGGGTAGTCGCCTACCCCTGCGGACAGGCAGTCTTCTTACGCATCACGTACGGGATCTAGGACGCTCATTAATGCTGCGCGTGAGTGTCACTGTAAATACGAACATGGGGAAGCACCCCGATTGCCGGGTGGTTAGGAGGACAGCCGCCCGGCACGCGGAGGATAGTGAGCCGCTGGGGACGTCACTGTGCGGAGGACGGGGGGAGGGGCGCCACCCGGGACAGGTGCCCGGTGGGTGCTGGGCAGGGATGTCGCGGGGCTCGCTCTGCCTGGCCGGCTGTCTCAGATGCTCTGCTCTAGGGACCTAATTTGACACTAAATATGGAAGGAAAAATCAACACAACCGGCGCTTTCTCTCTTCACCTGTCTTTGACTCGGACATCCCGCCTCACTGAACATGCACACCTGCTCCGAAACCAGCTTTCAGACATTGTCCTGCCACAGCGAGGAGCGCGGCCGCTCAGGGGAGCAGCCGACCATAGGTGAGAGCGAGCCCTGGTCAGCTGTGCTTGAGACGCCCAGGAAAACGGGAGAGCGAGCCGCATCGCAGAGGAAGAAGGGGACCAGAGGGAGCGGAACACGTGTGTGTCTCCATGGACTCACCTGCAGGAACCTCAGCCGGGTGAGGAAGTCGTTCACGTAGCTGCCGAGGGGCTTGAGGCTCGGGTAGGACTTGGCCATCCACATCCCCGGGATCTTGACGTTCAGGATGCTGCTGACCACCTCTTCGAGGTCTGTGGACATCACCAGCAGCCCCTGGAGCACAGTTAACCTCTGGTTAGCCTGACCATGGGCCTTCTTCACAACTATCCTCTGTTTACAACTGTGATGAGTTAAGGTCGAGTCATACAGCAAACAAAGAGAGGAAAGATATTTTCTTTTGCTCACAAGTAAGTCCTGGAGTCTTTGAACTATTCCTCAGAAAAACATGAGAAATGTTCACCTAGTCAGATGTTAATGGAAACACTTTAACTGAGGTGCAGTGGGCATGCGGCATTTGCTTCAGGTGCCCACCACCATGATGCTGACGCGCGTGGGAGCCCTTGGCAATCGGCGTCATGGTCAGGAGAAGCCCGGCCTCAGCTGGCAGAGGGCAAAGCTATGGGCCAGCGAGGTACCCATGGCGGAGCGCCCCAAACACTCAGGGCGCTGGCCCTGGGCGCCGCAAGGAGAAGAGGGGGGCCAAAGGAGAGAGATGGTTGAAACCTGATTTAAAAAACAGACTCCTAGGGCTCCTCCCACAAACCTGCACATCACCGCGCTCAAGTGAGAGCTGGGAAGGAGGTGGAGAGGTCCCTGGAGGGGGTTCGCGGCTCAGCGAGTCATGAGGGCCCCGCTGAGTTCGGAAAGCAGGGGATGCGTGTTTGCTGGGTGCTGAGATCCCGGGGGCCTCCTTTCCCTGTGGGCTCCCAGATGCTAGAGGCAGAAGGAAACGGGAAGGACCAGGTCAAGGAGAAGCGCATGACAATGAGTGCAGCTTAGCCAAGCAGCCCAGCCCAATACCCTGCAGCCAGACGGGAGATCACGCTACAGCCAGCCGGCTGCATGTCTCTTTTCTTTCTTCTTCTTCTTTTTTTTTTTTTAAATATATTTTATTGATTTTTTACAGAGAGGAAGGGAGAGAGATAGAGAGTCAGAAACATCGATGAGAGAGAAACATCGATCAGCTGCCTCCCGCACACCTCCTACTGGGGATGTGCCTGCTACCCAGGTACATGCCCTTCACCGAATCGAACCTGGGACCCTTCAGTCCGCAGGCCGACACTCTATCCACTGAGCCAAACCGGTTTCGGCTTCTTCTTCTTTTTAATATGTGTACTAGAGGCCCGATGCACGAAATTTGTGCAAGAGTCGGCCTTCCTTCCCCCTGGCTGCCAGCACCGGCTTCCCTCTGGCACCCAGGACCCGGGCTTCCCTCGCAGCCCGGGCTTCGACCACAAGGTCGTCTGGAAGGACGTCCGGTCTAATTAACATATTATGCTTTTATTATATGTGTATATTTGCATTGATTTCAGAGAGGAAAGGAGAGGGAGAGAGAGAAACATCAATAATGAGAGAGAATTATTGATGGGCTGCCTCCTGTACACCCCCACACTGGGGATCAAGCCCACCCAGTGACCGGAATGGAACCCGGGACCCTTCAGTCCACAGGACAGCACTCTTTACACTGAGCCAAACGAGCCAGGGCGAACCTGGCATGTTTGATGTGAAGACAACCGTTAGAGGAAGAGTTTAGGGAGGAAATTCAGAAATTTGATTTGGGGCTTGCCTTTCCTTTGGGCCTTCCCCTCACCTTGATGGCCTTCTGAATGTTAATGCACGACTCCCGGATGGTCTGCAGCAGCTTGTTGAAGCGGCCCATCTCCTGGACGAGCACCGTGTTCATGCTCTGAGTGTAGGTGGTTGGGTACCTCCTCATCGCAGCCTCAAGGTCAAAGTTGTTGGGCAGTTTCCCCAAAATGTCGCCCGCGACCTCATTCAGCACTTCCTCGGAGGATTTGGCGCCAGCTTCTGCCGAACGAGACTGAGAGAACCCACGCTGTGAGTCAGAGGTCCTCCTCGAGGGAGAGAGAACCCACACTGTGAGTCAGAAGTTCTCATTGAGGGAGAGAGAACCCACACTGTGAGTCAGAAGTCCTCATTGAGGGAGAGAGAACTCACACTGTGAGTCGGAGGTCCTCATTGAGGGAGGAGAGTGCCGGGTGGGAAACTCGGGGGGCTGTCAGGGGTGCCACCCGGCCGTTGCATCACCTCTGATCCTCCTCCACACAAGGTGGACTGAGTGATGGTCACAGGCGTGGCGTGTCGGGAGATGACAGTAGATAGTGAGGAGGAAGGAGGACACCACAGTGTGCAGAGGCCCAGAGGGCCGGGGGAGGGGACTAAGCTACCCTTTGAGCCACCTGGTGGGTGGAGCAGGTGCTGTGGGGAGGGAGGAAAAGCATTGACGTCGGTGGCGGGTGTTAAAGCCCAGCGAGAGGAGACGGGCTGAGAAAGCCCGAGGCGCGATGTGTTTGCTAATAACTCTGCGCCTACTGGTCGCCAAACGCAGGGCGACGGTTCTCCCCTGGAAGCAGGAGGCACCTGGAGCAGCACGGCCCCTCTCAGCGGGAAGAGTGATGGTGCGAGGTGGGCCATCTATGTCATGCATTTGGGCATGGTTTATGCACGAAAGGGGAAATGGAATTCTAGCAGCAGAATGCTATCAAAGAATGCTCAGAGGGACTCAAAGAATGTCACTCCAAGACCTCCTAGCAGCAGAACGTACTCAAAGATTCTCTCCAGGTCAACAGATGGATGAAAAACACCCCATACATCTGTGTACTTTGCTTAAATCCATACTAAAGGCACGAATACATATTTGTCTTTTTCTTAACATGGTTATCTACCTTCACAGACAGAAGTGTGTGTGCGGGCCCGTACTGTGCTCACACGTTCCAGCCCCGGGACCCAGCGCTGTGAGCTCGCACACCTGTGTGAGAAGGATGTTATCGAAGAGCAGCTGCGTTTCGGACTGGTCTTTGGTGATGTCTGCGTTGGCGTTCATCCCGAAGATTTCCGGGGCAGGGGTCAGCGGCAGGGTCTGCGTGTATTCGATGTAGCTCTTGTGCTGCAGAGATGAGTAACAGGGAGTTGGGAGGTTAGCAATCGATTTCCTGTAGAACTTTCCCACGGAAAAGAGATGCTTTTCAACACCCCGACTATTGAGTGGATGAGCCTGCGACACCAGACACGGAATGCCTTCCTTTTCTTGCCACCTCAGCCAAAATTTTTGTTTTTTGTTGTTGTTGTTGTTGTGTTTTTTTGTTGTTGTTGTTTTTTTGTTTTTTTTTTAAAGAATATATGAACACATTTAGAGAGAAAAAAGAAACGGTATCACTCAATCAGAATGAATTTTAAAACAGGGAGAGGAATGTCCTGGCCGCTTCATTTAGAAATTTCTCCCAGAGAAACCTTTCTGTGCCACATTTTGCTGATGACTGTTCTTAATTTATTGTGATCACAATAAATTATTTTAGGCTCTACTCTGACTTTTTCTCTGGACTCTTATTGTGGTAAATCCACATAATTCAGAAAAGTAAGAATAATCCGAAAATGTATTGTCCTGAGATAACCGCCATCATTGCCGTTGTACATCTTTTTATGCAGGTGCGCTCTCATTTTATATTTATTTACTTGGCCTTCTACCAACATCCCATCTATTTCTGGAGGCTCATCTAATCATATACGAACACATACATGTTGATTGGGGGGGGTTGTTCATTGATGGTTTTCAATATGGGTGGGAAGACCCCATGCTTCGGGTCCTTTGCCACCCACTGCTTATTACCCATGATTCCCCAGGTGACTTGCTCCACCCAATCAATGACAGAGGCTCTGGGATGGAGTTTTCTCTTCATCCCATGGATACTTGACCTCAGCTGGCATTAATCCCGGTGGACGACAGGCCAGGGTTGGGGGGCTATGGGACAGGTCTGGGACAGGACATGGCTATGGCCATGCGTTTAACTTTCAATAGGTGCCCTTCTGACTCCCGGGAATGAAATGAGAACCAATCTGACTGCCCTGGAAATGTACTGTGTGGTGAGCTGAAGGCAGATACCAGGTCTCCCACCAGACAGGCCTGGGACAAAAGAGCCAAAGGGGGCCTGGCCTGGTGTGGCAGGTGGTTCTGTGACGGCCGCTCTCTCCTTGGGCGGCGCTGGGCGAGTCATTTGATTTGAGCGAACTTGCTTTTCCACTTGTAAAAGGGATAGACTAGCACTCCCAGTGTCAGTCATGACCTGCAACCGCTTTGTAAATAATTAAGCATGACATAGTGTTCACTCTTATTGCTCATATTACTTTTACCCCACAAAGTGTTGCCGGAAGCCGGTCCATCCTTGCTGCTTGACACAGTCGCTGCAGGAAAGAAACATAT